AATCTTTGTTTAACAAAGCTGCGTTGTTGCACCCGAATCGCTTTTTATCCCTATTTCAATTTCTCCTCCTTTCAGATAGCCTTTTGCAGAAAAGGTTGAGTTGCACAACAATGCAATCTTGCTCAGTACGGTTCGATTTTCCAACAATATTGCAGAATATAAGCTCAACCAGTGCTGAAAATTTCTTCGGAACGTCTTTTTCGTCATGCTGGATAAAGTGCGTATCTGCGGGCCGACATGATTCCTATAAAAGTCAACATTTTTAGCAAGGGCGGCTCAGGGCAGCTGATCTTGGACAATTTGCACAATGAACGAACAATAATTTTACACAATTATATTTTTTTTACCGGCCATTACGTGCCTTAATAAGTTTTACTCTACAGACGATAAAAAGCCGCTCAATGGTATCGACTTTATCGATGTTGATGTTATCGATTTGCTAAATGAACATTTGGATATCGGCGGGAAATCAAATTTCGGTGGATGGAAACAGTTGAAATTTTGTTTTTCGTCGCGCTAGATCAGCCAGATCGCCCACTGTGTGGTGGTAGCGGAGAAAGAGGGAGGCACCTACAGCATTGTAAAGACCAAGTGGAGAAGGACTTGGCATTTCCAATTGGCGTCAGTTGTCATAGAAGAGAAATGACTGCTGGCAAATGTAAATAAGGATTAAAATTTAATTACTAATTAATACAACTAAAGTAAAATTTGGCGAAAATTAACAATAAAACACTTTTTTTTCGCAAAACCTATAAAGACCCTTTTATTTCTCAAAAAAGACTGGGTAACAGTTATTCGTCGCCACGCTGTATAACTTGGTAACCGCTTCACCAATTTCTGTCAAACTTGGCACATTTGTTGGCCTTGGTACGGCACACCAAACACCAATTTTGAAAATCGGACAATAACTACGTCTACATCCTTTATAACGGTAATTTAGAGAAATATACAATCTTCGATAAATCAGTAACTACTAAAGCTAATTTATTTAAAAATGGATATTCGCAATAATTCTTTAGCAAAAAATATGTTTGTGATAAAATTTTGGAAAATGGGCGTGGCACGGCCTACTTATGACCACATGTGTGTATCTCGGTAACCGTTCGATCAATTTGCACCAAACTCGGTACATTTAGTGTACTTAAAACAAAACCTTGAAAATTACTGAAATCATTATACAACGGTGAATTCCGTGAATGCTCGAAACTTCGATATTTCGTAATTAAAAGGCGATAATTTACTCAAAATTGATACGAACAACAATCCCTGGAAAAGAAGTAATATTATTATGGAATTTTGGAAAATGGGCGTGATACCGCCCACTTATAACTATATAAGTTTACCGAAGATGTTTGAAATAGGGGTAAAACCACCCCTACTTGCCATGAAGCAATAGTTTTCGGAAATACGAAAAAAACTATATTTAATAATTGCGCCGGGTATCTAATGTTCGGCTCCCCCCGAATATGTCTACTTAGCCCATTGGAANTAATTTACTCAAAATTGATACGAACAACAATCCCTGGAAAAGAAGTAATATTATTATGGAATTTTGGAAAATGGGCGTGATACCGCCCACTTATAACTATATAAGTTTACCGAAGATGTTTGAAATAGGGGTAAAACCACCCCTACTTGCCATGAAGCAATAGTTTTCGGAAATACGAAAAAAACTATATTTAATAATTGCGCCGGGTATCTAATGTTCGGCTCCCCCCGAATATGTCTACTTAGCCCATTGGAATTTTTAACCCTCGTCCGGGCGCATATTCTTACAACGCTAACCGGGCGCAAAGGTACAATTGTACCTTCATATAGTTTTGATATGAATTTTTACTGGGAGTTTATTTTTTTTATAAAAACTGATAACATTTAATCATTACACGTTATTTTGAACATGTTTAGAAATTTTTTGTTATGACAATTGTTTAAAAAAAAAGTAAAAATAGAAACACAGTAGCCTGCATAAAATGCACTCCGAAAAATACACGAGTACACCACAACAATATGTACCCTCCAAACATACATATGTATGTACTCAATATTTTTCATACTGGTGTGCCATATACACTGCAACCAGGGCTGCCAACTTGGCTCAAACCGTGCCATTTTTGGCAATATTTTACATCAAATGGCACTTAATTTTTCAATTTGGCACAAAGTGCCAAAATGGCACTTTTGAAAAATAGCAATATTTCAAAATATTTTTGTGAAATACTTTGGGTGTACTTCTTTTTCTCAATTAAAATTTTCTAATGTCTAAAGGTTATTCAACTGGTTCATTTTATTATGGCATTGCACTTTTGTTTTAGAAATGTGGTTCTTTTTAGCTACATGGGAAGCGTTATAAAGGATAGCACCTTTTTTGGCACTTTTATTTTTCTATTTGGCACATTTTGGCACTTTTTTATCCTTAATATGGCACCAAATAGCTAAGGATAGTTGGCAGCCCTGACCGGAACAAAAATAATACGATGTTTATTTGGTTCAGTTTATATTTGCTGCTACTTGCGATCACAATTCTGGTTTAGCATCCTACATAATCTACAAAAATCATAACCCCCGGTTTCAGGGAAAAAATCAACGTCGAAAGTTTCTAAAAGATCTCTCCAATCAGCTATGCATGCCTTCAGTTGAATCTCGAAGTGCAAATCGAATGATGATGAGAAGCCATTTCCTTCGAAGTGCAATAGAAATGGTACTTGGCCGTCGCGTTGTGGCATCTACAGCAGCTGTCCTTCAATTACCTCATGGTAGCCGCGGAGCCTCCCCTATCACTGGACGTTGCTATATCTGTCGGAACTCAAATAGGAAACAACGCAAAACTCGAATGCTTTGCATATCTTGTGCTTATCCAATTTGTGATGAACATTCAGTTTCAAAAACAACGTGTATTTCTTGCGAAGAAACTCTCTAAAAATTTCAAAATGTATATTCTAAATCGTTGTTCCTAAATTGAATTGTCTCGCTTGTTACTTTTTTATATAGTTTATTATCGCTTCTTATATGAATTAGCTCCGTTTGTGTTTCTTTTTTTTTATAAAAAAAATTATATATAATTAAAAATAATAATAATCTTCTTTTTTCTTCATACCAGATATATGAAGGTACAATTGTACCTATGCGCTCTGACGTGGGTGTAAATTTAACTCGGCCCTCTATTTCAGAAAATAGTGGCCCATTTTGTTTTAAATTAAGGGAACATGTGGCGCAACAAAAATGTAGAGATGTCACGAAGATCCAGCCCTCTAAGTTTTCTGGAAAAAAAGTTATTGTAATTTAAAAACGCAAAAGTTACAATTGTACCTAGTCGCACGGACGAGGGTTAAATAAATAAACATACCTCTTGTACTTCAATATTGTCATAACTAAAAAAAAAAACAAAAACTCGAGAAAAACAGCTTTAAGGTTTCAATTTACAAATACTCTCGCAGTAAAAATGAATACATATTTTGTCTGGTGAGTTACTCGAAATCAGTATAGCAATAAAATTCTTACACAACATAGAAGAACAAGTAGAGGCCATTTTTACATACTTAACTCAATTTTGAATTATTTTGGATCATGACAATATTGAAGTAATTTGGCGATACATAAGTTTCTTAAAAGTAAAGATTAAATTTGTGCTTGAAAATAAACATAAGTATAAAAACTGAACATTATTCCCAAACAATGAGATTTCTGTGGAAAACCCTGAGCCCCGACATACGATCGGAATCCCCTGAAACTTAGGATGAAAAATCCAGTCCGGCAACTCTAGTTCAAGCCAACGAAAGAAATTTATTGGTTGCCACACATTTTGGGTAAGTAACTGAGTTGTCTGAATTCAGAACACGTCGAAATTTCATATCACTGCAAATTTTGTACTGAAGTCTGTACAAACAAGAAAGCGAGTTGATATAAATGTGGTGAAATAATAAAAAAAACTTCGTTTCGAGTTCGCCCAGAAGAGTTTACGAGTTCGATTCGAGCTCATCCCCATTCGGTGACAAATTGGGAAGAGCCACACGCACACTCATAAGATATGTATATTCTATATTTTTCTGTAATGTCGGAGGGTTTAATTTTAACCGAAGCCATAGATGTATTTTTTCGACAGAACCCCTTTGATTTATTTATAAACTTTTGTTCGTAGTCCAAGGCAATTATTTTTGGCTAAATAAAACAAAATAGATAGATGTATACATACGAATATATGTACATACATACATAAAAATATATGTATATATGTATAAATAGAAGGCATAATTTCTTTTGAAATTCAGCTTAGCTAAAGCAGAGTTCACTTTCTCTAACTAACCCTTTGTTAAAGTCAAGTTCAATATTGATTTTGCAACACCATTATAGTGACAATCTATTACAACGTGGGTGCTTTATTGTTCTACAAATATAAGATTCTGGTGTAATTCAGCGAAATAATTCGAATCAATACAATCTTTCAAGAATTTAGCAATTTATGGATTTTCAATTTTTGCACGAAACATGTCAGCCAAGATCACAGCTTTGCTACCATTTAATTCCTAATTGATGAAGAAAATTAACAGTTTAATTGGATATTTGGATCTCTGTGATAATAAAAAAAGTCTTAAGATTACCTCATAGTCATATGGTTGCATATAATCCTTACAACGCCGCAACCAATGTTTGACACGATTGTAGGAATCAATCTCGAATCCGTAAGCTTCGCATTGCGATACCGTTACCACCAAGGTGAGATCAGCAATTGTAAAGGTATCCGTTGCAGCGTACTCATGACCCTTCAGCGAGTCATTGAACCAGTTGAATGCCTCATTCAGTTTGGCTTTTTTCGACTCGTCCAAAGGAGCACCCCATAGCACAGTAGGTGACTGAAATACATAATTAAAAAAAAAAATATAAAAATTTGTGTAATAAAATCTACTAAAATCTACTACTGGAGTTGAAAAATTATTGTAGACTCTCCAATAAAGTGTTTCTTAGCGAAAGATATAGAATCCATTCTGAAGGGTGCTTAGTGCAGCCGTTTTCCACATTTAAGCATTCTCAAAGAGCCATTGATGGCCCTTGAGCTTAATCAATGGATCTTATTTACAAAATTTTTCGAAGAATAATTTGAAATTTGGAAATCATAATTTAAGATTCACGACGGAAGGGAAAAAATACTGGACAAAATGTGGCTTTAATGGTTGATATATATAACGGGTGATTTTTTTGAGGTTAGGATTTTCATGCATTAGTATTTGACAGATCACGTGGGATTTCAGACATGGTGTCAAAGAGAAAGATGCTCAGTATGCTTTGACATTTCATCATGAAT